CCGAGCCAACTGCTTTTTGGAACATCCTATATTATAAATTGGCCTTGTTGCTTTTTCATTATTAGATTTACTTTAAAAGTCTTGACAAAGATTCCACAGGTGATATGCATTTCCCACTGATTTATAGAAGGAGACATGCAAGGTCACTTAATATCCACTTGACTCATCCACACTATGGTTAATAACTTGGTCGTAGTGTGTCTGATCTCTTCATTGTGAAATGCTTTTTATCCTTTGAAATTAATATTATTATGATGATGAGTTGAGACTATATGAATGATCCCATCTCTAGGAGAGCCCAATGGTTTTAGTATCTACTGTGATCCTTGTTTGAATCAGTTATTACACTGGAAGTTGACATCTTCTGCAAAGATATTTTTCTTTATGCTCCCTTCCCCTTCTTCTAAAGATTTTTTTTTAAATGTGTGATATTATAGGTTATTTCATTCCCTTCTTTTTTAAAAATCTCAAACCAAACCAAATTTGATCCTTCAAACCAACTTTTATGTCCCATCAATCCTTGGACGTTTCTTTTCTGACTCATCAAGATGTTCCAAACTCTGTTCCAAGCTCACCTTGTGCTTTAAATGCCCCAACCTGAAGTCACCTTTCCTAACATTCCTCCTTCTGAGGAATATTTAGGAGCCAAGATCAAGGGAATTAGGTGTTCTGGTCGTTAGTAGGTTGTGGTTTCCAGACCTTTTCAGAGGACAGAGCCAGAGCCAGTGGGGATGGCTGGGGTAAAGAGAGGAAAATACACACGTGCACATGTACGGACACATGACCACAATACCTCCAGTGCAAAACCAGTAACACGGGGATTTTCTTTGCCTTCTTCCATTCTGTATCTCATGTATACCATTGTGTCCAGTCTGATTTACAGACAGTAATAAATTTACTCATTTTTAATGCTCTAATTTTTTTCAAAAATGTGTTTTCAAAGAGTCTCAGCAACATTATCATCTTTAAACACTTATATTTAATCTCAGAGGTACCCACACTGTCCTGCAAAAGTCACACACAGCAAGTTCCTAGGCCTTTAGTTAGTAACCAGAGATAATACAGTCTATCTTCAAGTCAAAATGCGAATTGGACTGCTTTATCGTGGCTGCCATTGGCTCTCTAGAGTACCACATAGGACAAAGCTCACAACAGATTACTTGTGACTGATAGAGGACCTATTTGTTTCCCTTTTCAAAATCCAACCTCTGATGTTTGCCACTTGTTTCAAGATAGTTCCACAGGGTCAGGGGGAAAGAGAAGGGATATGGCAGTGGCCATAAGTTCATGATGTCATAGTTGATGTGCAGGGGTATGGCTTTTGTGCTATTAATGATAAAGCAGCTAATGCCATCATGGGGCCTCAACCTCATGACCTTATCTAATCCTAATCACCTACAAAATACCATCAACATATGAATTTGGAGACTGTTTCCAACACATTAGGGAGACACATTCAAACCATAGCAATCTCCAAAAAATAAAACTTCACCATTTATGGAAAGAGTGACTTCATTCTACCTTTGATTTTATCCAATAACTTGGTAATGAAAGAGAGATTGGATGATTAAAGCATTCTTTACTTCAGATGTCCCATATTCCCTTTGAGATCAGTGGTTAATATTCCTCTCATAGTCCAGTGTGAAAGCTCTTGGACCATATCACGACATGGCATCTGCCATCACCAGATCTGCTGTGAGGGAGGCGCAATTTAATACAACAAAGGATGATGTATGTGTGAGCCCAAAACTTGCAAAACCCAATTATTCAAAGGACAAAAACAGTAAATATGACCAGGATTTTCCATGTTGATCTGATGTTGGTGTTTCTGAGAGAAAGATGTAGAAATCTTTCCAAGAGAGAGGGAAGCTGAACTTTGAAGACTCATGACACTCATTAAAGCATAAAAATGAATTAAAAATGACACTGGACATGATAATCTTCTGTCAAGCCTGTTTCCTCCATTTCTTTTCATCAGAAAACAGCAAAAGGTTAGTAAAATAAAGAACTACAACTATACAGTAGGAAGCGGGGAGGGGAGCACATTGGAATTTGATCTCTTTCAGCTACCAATTGCAGCCCACCAAGGATTCATTCTAACAAGTTCACATTCTTTTTTTTTTTTTTTTTTTAATTTTTATTGTTGGCTGTTCAAAACATTACATAGTTCTTGATATATCATATTTCACAATTTGATTCAAGTGGGTTATGAGCTCCCATTTTTACCCCATATACAGATTGCAGAATCACATCAGTTACACATCCATTGATTTACATATTGCCATACTAGTGTCTGTTGTATTCTGCTGCCTTTCCTATCCTCTACTATCCCCCCTCCCCTCCCCTCCCCTCCCCTCCCCTCCCCTCCCCTCTTCTCTCTCTGCTCCCTCTACTGACATTCGTTTGTCCCCCTTATATTATTTTCCCCTTCCCCTCACTTCCTCTTGTATGTACTTTTGTATAACTCTGAGGGTCTCCTTCCATTTCCATGCATTTTCCCTTCTCTCTCCCTTTCCCTCCCACCTCTCATCCCTGTTTAATGTTAATCTTCTTCTCATGCTCTTCGACCCTACTCTGTTCTTAGTTACCAAGTTCACATTCTGACAAACAAAAAGTTTGTCTTCTTGCACAGGGAGTCTTCTCAATCTAGAACACAAATAATCTCTGCTATAAACGTGCAACACTGGGAAATGCATTTTAACAAAAGAGTCGTGGTCCAAGATGAGAAATAACTCGAAAATTTGGGACAAAAGAATCTGGTAGCTTGAAAATAGTCAGATCACATTAATCCTCTTTGTACATTAATGTATTATAACCAAGAATGCTATGATTTTCAGTACTCAAGTTAGTAGTAGACAAGGCAAGAACCTCTGTTTTCAGGAACAGAAGTACTCTTTTGGAAAAATATGTTGTTTCTGAGTTGTCTGAGATACAAATCCTCAGCCAGGCAGATGGCACATGCCTGTAATCCCAGGGACTCTCAAGGCTGAGGCAGGAAGATTGCAAATTTGAAGCCAGCTTGTGGAACTTAAAGAAACCCTGTCTCAGAATTAAAAATGAAAGGGCTGGGGATGAAGCTCATTGGTAGAGCACCCTAGGTTCAATTCCCAGAACCCAAACCAAACAAATAAGAAAGGAAGATGTGGCTGCTCTGGCTGCCGTTCATCTCACTACACTGAACCCATACTAAGTCATCATTTTTGCCTGAGCAGGGGAGACATGTTGAGCCAGCCCTAGGGCAAGACTACACTGGCAGCAAAAAAGGCTGGCCCTCTCCAAGGACCAAATTTTTAGATGGGCTGCCTTCCTTTTCTTCAGAAGAAAAAAAAAAAAATCACTAATTTCTGTCCCAACTTCAGAAGGGTGCCAAGATCAGGATGCAGCCTTCTAGATTCTTGCATGAGAAGTTCTGGATCACCAGTTAACAATGCCAAGAAAACAGGTTCACTAGGTGGCCCCGAGCTTGAAGTGTGAGGTTGTTAAAAGTAATTTTACACCATTTCTATAAATGTCACCTCTGTTCACATTTATTTTAGCCAAGATCTGAAAAAGAATAAGACCAAATTGTATCAGAAAGTATCAGCAAAAATCATCATTTTATAAAAATCATTTTTGTATCCCAATATTAGGAAGCCTATAAGAGTCCAAAGTACCTAACTAAATGTCATTATTGCTTTGTGTGCTAAAGCACACCATGCTGCTAGAGGACCCTCTTGAAGTCAAACTCTATATGAGGGACAGGGAAGAACTCAAGTCCAGGATCTGGAGTTGCCCTAAGACATGATGACCACTTGGGGTGGAAAACTCAAGAGGCCAATTCCAGAGATAAAACTATTCAAAAACGGTCAGGACTGCATCCTAGCCATAGGTTTGAAATTCTAGGAATACATGGCAGCTGCATTATCAACCTGTGTTATGGTTTGGATGTGAAGTATCCCCAAAAAGCTCATGTGTGAGACAATGCAAAGAGGTTCAGAGGAGAAATGATTAGGTTGTGTGAGTTTTAACCCAATCAGTGAATTAATCCCCCGGTGGGATTAATTGAGTGGTAACTAAAGGTGGGTAGGGTGTGGCAGAGGAGGTGGGCATTGCGGGTATGGCTTTGGAGTATATATTTTGTATCTGGCAAGTGGAGTCTCTCTCTGATTTTTGATCATCATATGAGCTGCTTCCCTCTGCCACATTCTTTTGCCATGATGTTCAGCATCTCTAGGAGCCCCAAGAAATGGAGCTGGCTGTCTATGGATTGAGACCTATGAAACCGTGAGCTCTTAAATAAACTTTTCCTCCTCTATAATTGTGCTGGTCAGGTCTTTTAGTCACAGCAGTGAAAAAGCTGACTAAGACAACCTGCTATCTGAATTCTAGAGGATTATTAGTGAAGAATGACACTAAGATGAAAGGCTGCAGTAGAGGATAACGGATGGAAAGCATCCATATTCCATGTTTTTAATGTATCACAGATATGGCCAGCTGGGAGCAGACCAGTTCATCTTTTCAGCCATCTTCTTCGTCTAATCCCTAGGAGTTCTAAATTAAATATTGAATGGAGAGCAAGTAGCAGCGAAGATTTCAGACTTACTTCCTTCAAATGTCAATTTTAACTATAAAATGAATGTAAGTAAACTAAATCCACCAAAGAAAACCTGAAAAATGATAAATAGCTGTAATAGCTATTAAAATTGCCAATTTTTTTATAAGACTTTATCACTGAAATGGCCTACCCTGACTACTCTGTACTATATACCATAATATTTTGCCCTTAGCTGAATAACATAAGAATGTTACAAACCCCAATATACCACTCCCTCTGCTCAGGTGAATAAATCATATGCACTATATTCTACATTCCCCAATGGCAACCTTCAATTTAATGACAAGGAGAAGTGTCAGGGTGGTAAAATGAGTGCAGTCCTCTGAGTGTTAACAGGAAGACAGGAGTACAAGACTAGTTGAGACACCAGCCTAAAATTTATCAATGAAAACACTTGGAGATGTCATTTGCAGTCACAGAACTTTATTTTTAAACCAACTTTATGTACCCAACAATTAAAGTTCAAAAAACTAAAACAAAACCCAAAATGAACATAAACAGCCATAGTTGTCTATATTGTACTCATTCTAGTGGCCAAAAAAGAATTCTACTGAATGCCAAACAAAGGATGACTCTGGACTAGAGAAAGTTAGGGGCCTTGCTGTTGCTGTTATTGTAGTGGCTGCTGGCCTTCCTGAAGGACCCATCTGTGATTTTCCCATTAAATAAATGGACCTCTGGTCTTAATGACCAAAGCATCCCCTTTCCTAGAGGAAAAGACTAGTAATAAATACTTACATACAGTGTATTATCTAGTATTCCTTACTATCATTTCAGAAAGTCTTATTAAATAAAAGTGAACTACTTATTGAAACAGTGCCCATCCATGGTGACTCTATAATGATTTATTGAACAATAAATACCTTAAATTTCATCTCCACCTGTTACTCTTCCAACTCAGAAACTAACAAAACAACCTCAATTAAAACACCCCTGGTTACTAATTTGTGCCTAATTCAAACGGGCCTAGCAGGAAAGCTAACTCCTAAGACTAATGCCATTAGTTCTTAGGTACTCTAATGCTTCATCCCAGCCTGGATAAGTTATCTAGTTACCTATACAAAATTCTGCTGCGCAATCTATCCCTGGAAAAAATACGGAAAATCAGGGGGAAAAAAAGACAGAAATCAGCACCCGTAACACACTGCATGCCATTCCTTCTGCGTCTATTTCTAGGCAGTACTTGGAGACACTATGGGACTTTTTTCACTTTTCCTTGATCATTCACTTTCTTAATGGCTTGCTGGATAGCCTCTTGGTCACCCAGAAACTGGTGAGGCCCAACAGCATGCAGGTTTTCATCCAGTTCCAGGAGAATTGGGACTCCAGTAGGGAGAGTAATGTTAATAATGTCTTCATCTGAGATACCTGTTGAGCAGAAGAGAAAGGGACAAGTGTTAAAAACAAACTTCAGAGGGAGTTCTGTTTAATTGTTTAACTGCACATAGACTTAGTTCCATATTAACTGTTTGGTTGAAACCAGGCCAGGTGCTGTGAGGGTTTCCAACTATAATTTCATAATGCTGGGAAATTTCTAGAAATTTAGGGATTCACATCAAGTGCTGAATCTTAAAACAGTATATAACTTCAGGGGCAACCTGCTCCTGCCTAGTTACATGTGGAAGGAATTAAAATCATCTTTTCCACACTGGTCTTAAAATTAGGATTTTCCATTAATGTCTAAATCTAGTTCATTTAATGGGAATGTGGCTGCTTTTCAAACACTAAGTGAGCTTGGAAAACCCCAGGAATTCAAGCAGGAATTCTCCCCCAAGGCTTAGGGAACATAGCCCAGGGGAATCAGGAAAGGACTTTACAATATGCTTTGTAAACAGCCCTCATTCGCCAACTGTCCCTTTACATCCCACTAAGAAGATATGCATAATGGACAGCTCACCTTTAATCCTTTTTTAAATACAAATAAATTGTTGGTAATTCAATCTGAAGCAGAAGAATTACCATAGTTGTAATGGTCGCTGTGGTACTAACAATATTTTCATTATTACAATTACTTTTAACAATAAACAGCTAACATTCTGAGCACACACTACATGCTAGGTACTTTTCTTTTTGTGAGACAATTTCCCTAAATTGCCAAGGCTGGCCTTGAACTTGCAATCCTCCAGCCTTAAGCCTCACAGGTAGCTGGGATAACAGGTATATACTACCATGCCTGGCTTACTTATTCTAAGTACTTTATATGTATTATATGAGGCTATAAGTTACTGTTTTCTCCATGTAACAATTTCTGGCACACAGAGGTTAAATAACTCAAGACCACACAGAACAAATGACAAAACTTGGATTAAAACACAGAAGTCTATACCTGGGCTTCTCCGAGTTCAAAATAGAAAAACAGAAGATATGAGAAAAAAGATGTAGCAAACTAAAAAAATATTCAAATTATTTACTTTAAAAAAACAACAGGCTGGACACAGTGGTGCATGCCTGTAATCCCAGCAGCTCAGAAGGCTAAGGCAAGAGGACTGCAAGTTCAAAGCCAGACTTAGCAATTTAGCAAGGCCCTAAACAACTTTGTGAGATCCTGTGTCTAAATAAAATATTTAAAAAGGGCAAGTTTGTGGCTCAGTTGTTAGGTGCTCTTGGGTTCAATCCTACATACTCCAAACAAAACAAAACAAAAATTCAAAAAACATAAATGCTCTATAATCTCAGTGACTTGGAAGGTTGAGGCAGAAGGATAGAAAGTTCCAGGCCAGCCTTGACAACTTAATGAGACCCTTTCTCAAAATAAAAGATTAAAAGGGCTGGGTGGGATGTAACTCAGGGGTAGAGGGCCCCTGGGTTCAATCCCCAGTAGGGGTAGGGGAGGGGGGACATAAGTGTTTTAATTACATAGACTTTTAAATTCTAATCATATGTTTCTATTCCATAAGATAGAAAGGATCTAGGCAGAGCAAATTGTGAGACGAGTCCAAGGTTGTCCTTATTTGATGGTGGCAGAATAAATTATTACTAGTTAGCTATAAGTGCACTTTGTCAATTTAATAAGTCACTGGTCATAACTATATTAGCCAAGAGCCACAGAATCAATGCACTGAATCCTTACTCGTGGGATGGTTCTTTATTCCAATTTCAGATCTAGGACCAGAAGAGCTACCTACTAACTCTGATGCACAAACTATCCAAATTAGAACAACTACGAAACAAAAGAATCCTAACTTGTAAGAGATTGTCTCTTCCAAGTGTGCCGGCCAATCACCTCCCTTCAATATACTAACTGTAAAATTTTAGGTAAAAAATTTCTCTGGGCTTCCAATCCCTCTGTCAAGTTAAAAAGAGAAGAAAAAAGAAACACATGCTTTACCTTTCCGACATTACCAAAGGTTGTGGGATAAGAGGACTAGCTTAAAAATGAACATACAGGGAAAAGTACCCATTTCTTCTACCCCTAATAGGTAGAGGACTTAAAAGGAAGACTGTTTGCCCTGCGCTCATCTCATGCTGCAGTCTTACTCATGATTATCCCCATAAACTAAAGCTGGCAAGAACAGATGCATTCAGACAGGCACCCAGCTGGTTAGCTGGGAGATGAGCGCTCTAAATTCTAAAAGTCCTCTGCCTCCACTGGGTCAGGAAATGTCTGCTGGCTGTGCGGGAGGGGAGTTCAATAGTATGTGGTTTAGAGCCAGGGCACCATTGGGGCTTACAATCCAGCAGTTCTCCCTCCGAAATCCAGGGAAAATTCTGGAAGTCCTCAATCTCGACTCACCCATCTAACCAGTAGCTGAGTACAGTACTCTAGAGAAGAACAAGTGTGACTTTGGTCAGGATTTTACCTCCAATGAAATGAGGGAGGATAGTTTCTTCCAAAACCAGAGTTTCTCTATTTCATACTTAATGGTTAGGAAAAGCAGAGACATCTTAGAGGTCTGAGAAACACAGGGACACCAAGTACTTTCTATAATCATCTGTTGTGCAAGACCATGTTTTATCTGTTTCTAGAATCTATAAGCCTCAGAGAGAAAAAGAGATTTCATAGATTTCTCTAACTAATCTGTTTCGTAGGTCTCAGTCATGGTTGGCTGGCTCTGTTGCTCTGAGCCTGAGGTAAGGCAGAACATCATGGTGGACAGGTATGACAGGAGGAAAGCTGTTCAGCTGATAGTAACCAAGAATCAGGGAGGGAGGAGAGGCAGGGACAAAATAGAGTCCAAGGTCACTCTCCAGTTACCTACTTCCTTTATCTGTCTACAGTTACCACCCAGTAGTCCATACAAACCATTAATCTACTAAATGGATTAATGCACTAATACCACCCAGTAGTCCATACAAACCATTAATCTACTAAATGGATTATCCCTAATCATTGCCTAAAAGCCCCACTCTGATTCTTGCTTTATTAGGGATCATGCTTTCAAAACATGAGCTTTTCAGGGAACTTTTCTAGGCCAAAACCATAGCAGTCCATCAACTAATAAACAGATAAATTAAATGTCACATAATCATAAAAAAAGGAATATTATTTGAGAATAAAAGGAAATGAAGTACCAATACACGCTACTTACATGCTAAATAAAACATGCTAAATAAAAAAGCCAGTCACAAAAGGACCAAATATTGTATGATTCTATTAATATGAAATGTTCAGAATAGGCAAATCCTTAATGACATAAAGTAAATTAGTTACCTACAGCTAGGGGGAAGTGACATAATTGTGGGTGGTGACAGCAGAGGGGTACATGAAGGTAATGAAAATCTAATTAAACATCTATCTTCTCAGTCATCATTTCTTTATAGTGAAAACATTTTAAATCCTTTCTTCTAGTTTTTTAAGATATATAGTACACAATTGTCATCTATTGCTTCTCTACTGCACAACAGCACACCAGAACTTCTTACTTACATTTAATTATAACTTAGTACCCTTTGGTCAACCTTTCCCCACCCGCCTCCTAAAGTAATTTAAAACTGATTGTGGTGGTGGATTTACAAATCTGTGAATCCATATCCACTGATTCCTCACCCATGGATTCAACCAACCAGGAATGGAAAAGACTTTTTAAAATATATCTATATCAAATACGGATAGACTTTTTGTTCTTGTCATTATTTCCTAAACAACACAGTACAACAGCATTTACATTGTATTATGTATTATAAGTAATCTAGAGAAGACTTAAAGTAAATAGGAGGATATGTGTAGGTTACATGCAAATACTATGTCACTGTATATAAAGATCTTGAGCATCTGCAGATTCTGGTATCTGCAAGAATGTCTGAACCAGTCTTTTATGGATACTAAGGGATAAATGTATACTAAAAAGCAATGAAGGGCTAGGTCTAGGTTTAGCTTAGTGGTAAAGTGCTTGCCAGTGTGCATGAGGCCTTGGGTTTGACCCACAGTACTAAAAATAATAAAATAAAAATCACTAAATTGTACACGATGAGTGATAGATTGTATGTGAATTACACCAGCAAAAACGCTGTTACACAAGTACAAAACAGGTTCAGAAAGGTTAAATAAACCTGCTCAAGTCACAAAACTGTTAAGGCAATCAAAGTGGAGCTGTTCTTAGATTTTGTTGTTATTGTTAATTTCCAAATCCTAGGGCTTACACTATAGTCATCTGACTTGTTTATGGTTATTTCCACCACCACAGAAGGAAAGAGGTGCAATGTTTATATTTTTTTCTGCTCTTGTGACAGGCTAGGTTCTCACTGGACACCAGCACCTGGTGTTCCTAGGACTGAAAAAGGGCATAGACAGGTTTGGCTAGCTCTTGAAGTAGCTAAACACTGGAATTGTGATGGGGCAGGTTTAGGGTACTGTCTGCATGACCCCAAAAAAGGGTTTGAGGTCTTTGCAAAGGAGCTAGGGCAATGTGGGACCCACTTGTTTGTCCATGATTTCAAATCTACCTAGGTCCTCTCTTGAATAACATTCTCAAACTCACACCTATAGCTTCGCTAACAACCCACTTTTGTGTGGTCCACTAAACAAAGGCCACCAGAAACATCATCTTTCACTTATAAAGGAAGAAGCACACAACAAAAATACTCTTTTTACAATAAATAAAGTTAATATTCCACTTTATTGACTCTTCAGGCCATTCACACAGTAGACTAATTACTTTAAAAATATTTAAAATACTTAGACTGGTTAATAATCAGTCAATGAGACTTAAGCAATTGAAATTTTAAAAGAGCAAATTAAGAAAAACCACAGTGAAGCCATCACTCATTACTCAATCTTGGCATAAGCTATGTTCTCCATCCTAAGGAAGTTAAGCCAACAGAACTCCTGAGGCTAGAACACTGAATCTGCACTGGATTAAACCAAAGTGAATGAGGGGTGTATTATATAATCTTACTACAAACTCATTCACTGGGACATAACTTGAAAG